CGCTGCTCAGTACTAGTAATCAAAAATAATTAAATGTCTTGGGTGGTGGCAGCGACACGAAACCGACCTTTGCCCCAGACAGCCAGATGTTGTCTGGCCACATAAATAAGCTCTCTGGTTACTACTTCGGCGGCGCTCTCCCCTCCCCTCCAAAATCATCTATCTCTGTGCATCTTCTAAAGAACTTGACTCAATCTCTACTGCTTCTATCCCATTCCTCCTGCTGGCCCATCATCATGAGTCACAACGTACCCCGTTTCCAGCAGCGCAGCTGTGTGCATTCCTCCGCGCCGGTCAATGTTCCTGCGTAAGCTTCTCTCTTGTTCACCCCGCTGATGATTTCGCCTGTATGGGCCCAAAGACCGTCTCTCTGTTGGCATCTTGGTTTCGCGGATGGCTTTTATCTTCCCATAAAACAAATCTTCTTTTGCTAACCTGAGGATGCAAAACTAGAGACGGCTCCTATGACACCGCAAACCCTGGCTACATCCGCAAATACCTTCGATCGTACGGTCTGACGCCTCCGCACGTGGAAAGCTATGAGACGCAAAAGACAAGATGTATGGACGTGTTGTGCTGCCTCTACTGCTCGCTGGAGTATTTAGGGAACATATTTTGTTGTGGTTGGATTAGGCCCCTTTTGCTGACTGGTTCAATCAGGCCTGAGGCAACTTGCTGTGAAAGCAACCGCCATCGACAAGTTCCTCTACCTCAGCACTCTACGCCGGAACAACGTCCATCTTTTCTACCGTTTGGTTGTAGACCATCTAAAGGTGGGAGGGAAATAATGCTACCGATAGATTTAAACGGTGTTCGCGCAGTTCTTGGGGCTAATCCCTCCTCTAGGAACTCACCCCGCTGATATACACGCCCGTTGTGGGTGAAGCTTGTCAGAGATGGTCCGAAATATACCAACAGCCTGAAGGTGGGAAATAAATTTTTGTCTCTAGCTTTACTTAACTTCTTTTCCCCCCCTTTCTCTTCGTTTACCCTACGGTTATGACTCACTAAGTTGTTTAGGAATGTATATCAGTTACGAGGATAGAGGCAATATTGCAGCTGTCATCCAAAATTGGCCCCAGCCACACGTCGATATAACCGTTATCACCGATGGCTCTAGAATCCTTGGCTTGGGAGACCTTGGCATCAACGGAATGGGTATCCCCATTGGAAAGCTTGCCCTATACACCGCCTGCGCTGGTATCAGGCCGGAAGCCACTCTGCCTCTAACCCTAGATCTGGGAACGAGCAATAAGGCGTTGAGAGAAGATCCTCTTTATCTAGGTAGTCGTCGAAACAAGGTGAGCCCAGAGCAAGAATTGGAATTTATGGACGAACTGATGACCGCTCTGACTGAGAAATGGCCTGGGTAAGTTAAAATTTCTCAGTTCTTTTCGCAAAATCCATTTACCGGTAGGCACTCTCTTTTACTTTGTCTTGCTAATAAGATACTCAGCGTGGTCATTCAATTTGAAGATTTCAAGAACCCATTCCCAGCTCTTGAACGGTACCGCCATAGATTTACCTGCTTCAATGACGACATCCAGGGAACCGGTGCTGTTATCCTTGCTGGAGTCATAAATGCCGTAAAACAATCTGGCATTCCGGCTAAGGAGCACAAAGCCGTCTTCCTTGGAGCAGGAAGTGCTGGTGTTGGTGTCGCCAAGCAAATTGTCGATTTCTTCGTTCGCGAAGGAATGACGGAAGCCGAGGCCAAGGCCTGTTTCTACCTCGTTGACACAAAGGGTCTCGTGACGGCGGATCGAGGGGATCAGCTTGCCTCGCATAAGGTTTACTTTGCACGAACTGATAATCAGGGCCTGCAGTTAAAAACATTGAGTGAGGTTGTTGATCACGTCAAGCCCACCATGCTCATGGGCCTGTCGACCCTGGGAGGCGTATTTACCCCAGAGATCCTCAGAAGTATGGCCTCCTTCAGCAAGCGACCCATAATCTTCCCCCTTTCGAACCCGTCCGCGAACTCGGAATGCGACTTCGAATCTGCCATCATACACACCGATGGTCAGGCATTATTCGCCTCCGGCTCTCCCTTCCAGCCATTTTCCTATAAAAACTCCACCGGACAGATAAAGACTTACTACCCAGGTCAGGGCAACAACATGTACGTTTTCCCCGGTATCGGTCTGGGGACCATCCTTAGCAAAGCCGTCGAAGTCACCGACAGCATGATCTACGCATCCGGCGAAGCTCTCTCCAAAACCCTTACCTCAGAGGAACTCGAACACGGCCTCCTCTACCCAGACCTCACCCGGATCAGAGATGTGAGCGTCATCGTAGCACGCGGAGTCATCCGCGCAGCGCAGGAGGCAAAGGTCGATCGGGAAACGGGAATTCGCGATCTGAGCGATGCAGACATGGATGCCTGGATCCGGTCGAAGATGTACGCACCACATTCCGAAGTTGCGTCGTTGGAGCGCGAGGTGGGTATCCTGCTCTCGTCGATTGGCCGGCCGAGCTATAATAATAATAATGGCTGGTAGATGGTGTCGGATGAAGACACGAATGATAAGGGAGCTAAGTTGTGAAACACAAATATAATTTCCTCTCCACCAACCACCAGGCGTCACCCTCCCTGCCTCCCGCCCCGCTCCCTCCGCCCAACCTCCTTTATTCCTTTGACCGACATGCTTTTGTTTTCGACCTGTTTGAGTCGTTTAGCGCTTTCCGTTGCCTGCCCGCTTTTCCCCTTTTGTTCTGTGATTTATTTATTTTTTTTTTTCACATGATGCATATCAACTAGCACGGGGTTGCATTTTTGTGCCATTCCATTTTCATGTGCTTGCCCCTCCACTTGGTATTTGATCCTACGAAAAACCCCATCTTAGATAGTGATGAATAGATGGATATACTCATACAGCAAGCAATATACAGGGGAAGGGTAAAGGGGGTGGAGGAAGATGGATCCTATGAAGTGAAATGATAAACATTGAATGAAGAGCTGGTTTTTGTTTACTTGTTTGTTTGTTTGTTTGTTTGTTTGTTTGTTTCCGTTTTGTCCTTTCTTTACTTTTCTGTTCTTTTCTTTGCTAGGTTAAGGACACCTCTTATTCTCTTTGTAGCCAAACGTGGTTTGAATAATGAAAGATAAATCCAACAGCTACGGAGTATACGGTACGAGGACTTCAAGTTGAAATTGAAGCTCTTGTTAGCACCACCACCACCACCACCACCACCACCATCACCACATGCCAAAAACCCCCATTGAACGAGAGAGTTACTTAGACTGGCACTAGTATAGCCTCAGGCTCCCATAGCTTCTTCCCCCTGCCTCCTCCGATGTTCGCAACGGTTATCTATCGCATCTCCTTAGCATGATTTATTCTCCGAGCATGTGAATTTGCACAGTCCTGGCTGAGCTGAATGAGCTAGTTAGCTTCTTAGCCCACTCGCTAAGTTGCTTGGAGCTTAACTACCCCTCCCACCTGTATATATATACTATACGGAGTACTCCGTACATGCTGCGTAATATATCCCGCCATGGGGGAGACTCGGAAGAACATGGGCGTATCCTGCAGCATTGATGCAAGCTCAACAAGACTAGGTAACAGTTCCCCCCGGCGCAACGGCTGTCTGTCTTAGCTTGTCTGTCCCCGCAAGCTGGGCTACCCAAGTATTTTTTTTGAGTTCATCCGATCTTCCCATGGGTGTTTGGCTTGGCATACAGCATCGCTCAGCTTGGATGGGGAAGTTTTTGCATGTAACTATTCTTCGTCCTGTGATTTGATTTATTCTCTACATCATCACATGCATCACATGTTGCACAATCTTGAAACTACACTTTTGTAATTTTGTAATTGCGGTAAAAAAGGTAAATTAAAAAATAAGAATAATATAATCCCGCCCCCCGTGACACGCTGGTACTTGTGGGAAAAGAGGAGAGATACGTATTATTAGTAGGGCTTGCTGGGGGAAAAGAAGGGGAAAGGGGGAACCTCCAGAAAGAAGAGATAATGCCAGTGAAGGTCTGGAAAGCGTCAAGGATCAGTTATATATATATATATATATATATATATATATACATGCTTGACTTGATCAGGAAACGCGCACAGCTTTGGATCCTTCTCATGTGCACGAGCCGAAATTGGCGCTAAACCCGTCAATCACACAGAGTTTTTCACCATCGTCTCAGCAAAAGATGGTTCCTCAGCCTCAAGATCATCATTCATCGCCACTTTTACCGCATTGTTACGGCAAACAGGAACCCAGAATTCAACACCCGCGAGGAAAGGTACGGATACCAGCCAGTTGCACATTGACTGCGATAGCGATTGACATAATTGTCAGTCATGAAAGAAAGAAAACATATGGGAGGCTAAATAAATATGTTAACAATGATTTTTTCACCTACCTTAAGGCCCGAATCCCTAAACATTGGCGACAAAGAAATGCCATGGCAACCGCAAAGGTAATTATCATCAAAACTAGTGCCATGACGAACAATATCATTGGATACAGGAGCTTCCATGTATGCGTATTATTCGAGACTCATGATGCTCGCAAGTAACTCTGAGAAGCCGAGTAGGAAATTCCCTGGCGTTTGCACTGCGACGTGGACCCTGCCTGGCTGAGCACCGCGTTGATTTACTGGACATCTCCAGATGCCTTTGAAACATGGTGGTGCTCTGTAGATGAGGTGTTGAATGGCGGTGACAAGGCCAGTGACGTGAGGACAGCGAAGAAGCCTATGGCAATGTGGGACATGGGTTTGGGTAAGATTCCTGAAATCTGAGGAAGCTTGGTTTTGGGTGGAAGATGATAATGCACACACAAGGATTCCAGGAACAGGATACCAAACCTGGAAGAAGCTCCTCAGACAGTGGCGCCTGCCTAACGGAAGCCCTTAATGATTACCAGTTAACGCAAGCTTAGAGACCCAAGATAGGAGTGGAAAGAGAAAAGCATATGTAAAGCTCGAGGAACCGCTGGAACCTGGAAAGATTCTGGATATAATTTCTATGAGACACACAAAATCTAGTTGACATCCATTGCTTCTTCCCCTCATTTCTCCTCGGGGAATGAGATCCTAGGAAAAACGAAAAGAGAACAACATTGCATGTCTGAAAAACTGGCCGCTGAAGCCGTAATATGTGAATCGATCGCATAGCTCAACAACAGCGACAAAGAAGGCAGCACACAAGATATTATCGGGGCATTTTGGGCAACAGTGCCTTGCAGTTCCTCAGTTGACGCATCCGACACAGGCAAGTCCTCATTGGATTTTGATTCAGTTATCGGCCCGTCATCAGTTGAAGACGGCATAGAATTGGTATGTACGAGGGCTGGTCGAGTTCATTCATACGTATCTCGGGGTTGACGAGATGGGAAGCCCGTCCGCAGAAAGAAAAAGTAGTTCAGGATCCCCACGGTCCCTGCGCAGCTTGTCATCAGTGATTCAACGTAAGCAACAGAATAGATTTTCCTATCCCCGTAACAGGATTCGGGAGAGGAAAAATGTAAAATACAATTGAGCAACGCAGACGAGCCATTAACATACCAAGCTAGTGCCACAGTGTTAAAAATTTATGATCATTGTTCCAAGTATATGCTAGTTCTGAATGGTGGCTTCTTGGACTCAAGAGTTCAACTAATGATTTTGAATGATAGCTGTATGCACCGATCCAACAATTGCCCTCGGGACTGCCCCCGTTAAATAGGCTTAACTTAACAGAATCGGCCACACATAGGGACTTAATTTGTTGGCATTGAGACACGTTAGAGCGAGAGATATTCTTTTTAAATATGCTTTCCCATAATCAATCCGACCCCATGCAGTATGGCAGTATGATAGGCGGGTGGAGAGACATATTAAGGGGAGACGGGAGACGGTACACGATTTGGCTGGTCCTAATCTTTCTCACTTGAGAAGTAGGCCGAGTAAATTATCTGCCTATATGAATGTAGGCATATTTTAGGATATATGCGGTGCTCTAGTAAGAATAGCCGTAAAAGTAATTCATTTATATATGTTAACGATTGGAGTTGGTCAAGGGCGGTCGCCGCATTTGTCAAGGGTCATGATCCTGCTCCTGACTGGTGCGTACCCAAATCGAAGTTAACAGGGTCTCCGTTCCCCATGAACTGATTGCCAACCACTGTTCTTGCAACTTGTCCTCGGGCCGGGAAGAATGCTTGGTTAATCACCCCGCAAGCTGCACACGAAAACTCAACCTTCACATCTGCCGAGACTTTGGGACGACGCTGGACGCTGCGCGGCTGGCTACGAACTTGTGGGGTATGTTGCCTATTATTACAAAGGCCTGAGCCCTGGTCTTCCTGTGGCGCGCCAGAATTAAGTGCAGTAGGGACATGATGGGATCGAGCGAGAGAGTCTGGGCTTGGTTGTGGCATGCTAGGTTGAGGAACAATGTGGCTGCTTTCTGGAACGTCGAAGTCATCATCATCATCGTCATCAGTCCCTATATCCATCGGCAACAAGGGTTGGTTTTGTGACCACTCGCTAGCATGTTCGTCGTGTTGTTGTTGATGTTGCTGTTGCTGTTGTTGCTGTTGTTGTGAAAAGGAGCTACTAGTGGCTTCAATGGGGATCTGACCAGTCACTGGCCGTGTCTGACTGGGATTAGGGGGGCGACCTCGGCGTTTACCCTTGAGCATATCTAGTTTCCGTAAAGCCCGATGTGCTTGTCTAGGAGCCACTTCGATGCCGTAATATCTTCTGATAGCTGCCACGGCCTCATCGGCTGTGACTTTGGTATTCGTATCAAAAAACTTGGGGATCTCTTTCTTCAGAAAGGCCATACGGGAGGCTTGAGCTCGCTGAATCGGAACCGCAGGAGCGTCAAGGGTAGCGCGACAGGTATGGGTATCGGTGACAGAGGTTACATATGTGTAGTTCTGATTTGAGCGGCATATGGCACGAAAGGTACAGTCGGTGGATGACCGGCAACCCAGGGCGACACTTTCTCTATTGCTTCTGATCACACAGAGATCCCAACGCTGTCTTATTGATGCAGCACGTACAAATGATTTAAAGGAATCCAGCGACTCGAATAATTGCCTCTTTTGAAGCCCAGTATACATCCCGTCCATTTTGGACGAGGAGGAGCAGTCAATTTCTATGCAGGAAGGTCAGATCTCGTATGAAGTTAGGAATCTACATACATTAGTTAGTTCAATCCTTTGTAGAAGAGGGCTTACATACCTAGAGAGACGCTAAAAGAGGCGTTAGAAAGGGTGCTTTTAGGAATGCTAGAATTCGCATCTGCGGGAGTTTCAAGCGATTCAATGGCTCGGATGCCACAAGAAGGGACGTAAAGCAGAAAAAAAGGTAATAAATATTCATGCAAAATTGATTATTTGCGTTGTTTCAAACACTCTATGTGTGTTCTAAGGGGGCTTGAACCTTGAAGAACTTCGCATTGACCAGGCGATATCGACATCAACAAAGGTTCGAGTCAGTCTCGGAAATCAGCGGATTGCTTAGCTCAGCCTGCAGTCTTAGCGTTGATTAGTTATAAACCATCTCCTTGCAATGAACACTGCTGCTACCACTCCAGGATCTTCGCATTGACCAAAAGCCTCAGCAGTTGCCCCGACTCTATCCTCCCGTTCTGTTTAGGAACTACTTAATTTGCTCTTACGGGGTATTATGGAAGCTTATACTTTGCTCGATCAAGCCCAGGAAGGTGTGTGTTCCTGCTGCTATGCTTCTCTGCAACAGCTTGCTTTGCTAATTGTCCACAATTTTATTGTCTAGATGCGCTTCATAAGACGCGGCTTCTGAACGTCGAAGAAAAGCCATTTAAACGGATTACGAAACGTCTTCTTACTCCCAACTCGCTGATAGCCGCGCCATCTACATTGTTTCCAACTCCGCCACCCGAAAGCACTGATGAAGAAGCCGCGGCAGCACAGGCCGACGCTGACAAGCAGAAGCAACTTGAGGAATGGCGCCAGTTTCGCGAAGATATAACACTCGACTTTGCTGCTTTTGAGAGTAGCATTGCCAGAATTCAATTCCTACTTGCAAGCAATGAGAAAGAACGGAAACGTTATGCAGCCGAGAAGTTGAGAATTCAGTCAACAGCGCAAGCTGTGAGGGACAATACGGCTGAGTTGAGGATACAACTGGAAGAAGCACAGAAGACCCTTGCGTTACGTAAAACATACGATGACCTAGCGGACAAGATTACTTCGAATCGATTGCTACGACCCAGGGAGGACCAAGAGGCTAACCTTCAAAAGCTACATGCGGAAATCGCCCAGTTGGAGCAGGAAAGCAGAGAATATGCGCAAACGTGGGGTGAACGCAGAGAGCAATTTGGTAGAATTATGGAGGAAGGGATGAATCTTCGGCGATTGATCAGGGATGAGAAAGAGGAAGTTGAGAGGAGAGAAGGCATGGAGGAAGGCGAGGAGGGCGATGAGGGAGATGCCGGTTCGAAAGGGAGAGGAAGTGCCGTTGGGACTCCGAAGCCAGATCAAGATAGTGTAACCCCTTCGCACGTTGGGAATGAAGACTCAGGTCCTACCTCAGCACCATCCCAAACAGAGAAACACCGTCCTCATGTCACTGGTGGTGCGACTCCCCTGCGGCAAGCGATGAGTGCGGCGTCGACTGATGGGAAAGCCGCTACACAGGAGCCGGAAGATGAGACTATGATAGATGAAGGGGAAGTTACCGGAGATGAATCAGGGCCAGTAGGAACAGTAGGCAGCGAGACAAGGCCTGATTCAAGAGCCACCGCAGAACCCCAGGACGAGAAAGGTCCTGTTGAAGATAGGTTTGGAGACAAGATGGACACTAGCTAGTGAAGTAGCGACATATGCCGGGATATTGCTACCCTACCCTACGTAGAACTCTGACTGAATAGGAGTTTGATTCCTAACTACAAATTAACGGTGATGAGATATGGTTTGCTCAGTAAACCCTCGCTCAAAAATAATCATTCACGCCTTAGGATTCACCCAGACCCTGATTTCCTTATAACCTGTAGCTATCGATACCCCCATGCTCCTAACAATGGCCCAAATCTGCTTCGGGATATAAGTCACTAGGAAAAGTAGTGCAAAGCCAATATACCACAATACTTTCCCAGTTAAACCAAAGAGTGCGCCCATTGCTTTATAGGTTAACTCTCCGAGGTCAGCACTATATCATACACCTTAAGGGGGAATGAGATGAATAC